GAAGTAGTTGCCAAGGTTCTTGAGAAGGGGAATGACAACTTGGCTAGGAGGTAGGCTTGAGGCAAGGATATCGAGAAGTCCAAGAGCGGAACGGGCAGGAGTGACATCCTCCTCCTCGCTGGAGAGGTCACCGAGCTCGGTGACGATGTGGAGAGCCTTCAGGGTCATCTCCTCACCGATCCTCAGACCCTGCACCTTGAGCTTCCTGTAGCGAACGCATTGCATGAGGAATGCGAGCGCCTGGGAACGGTAGTCGTCTTCGACGTTGGTGCTTGACGCAAGCTCGAGCATGAAGCGGACGAGATCGCCAAAGTGCTTTGCGAGAAGCGCGGACTCGCAGCCAAGAAGAGTCTGGAAGACCTCGAAAGCTTGCATGGCGCGGTCCTCGTCACCCTCATCGACAGTAGTCTTCAGAACGTTGACCATGCCAGGGATAGACTCCTGGAACAGAGCAAGCTCCTTGGGGCTCTCGTCAGGCTCAAGCAACATAGCTAAGCGGCTGAGACCAAGCATGGTGTTGATCCTGACTTCAACGCTCTGGGGGTCTTGGATGGTGGAGCTGAACAGCTTGTACAGATCGGCTTGCTTGCCGGGGAACGAGTCGCCCGCTGACTCAAGCGTGGTGAAGATGATGTAGGTGCCGACTTCACGGTGGCGCGCCTCGTTGCTGGTAGCAGCCTGCTGGAGGTAGCCGGGTAGGTCAGCCCACTCGCCATCTTCGAAGTCTTGCGACGCGATAGCCGAGATGACGCGGGCAGCAGAGTGCCGTGTGAGAGTCACGTCCTCGTTCAGTGTGAACTGGAACAGCTGGTTGCGGAGAGAGTTCTTCTGGTCCGCAGGCAGGTTGGCCCAGTGCTTCGTCACCAGCTTCCTAGCCTCTACGGCCGCCAGTTGGCGGAGTTGAGGCTTGGGGTGGCCGCAGAGGATCTGAAGGAGGGCATTGAGAGAGGCGGGGGAGTTGTAGTAGTTCTTGTTGAGGGTAGAGGTAGCGGATTTGACACGCTCGGTGTCGGCTGGAGAATGTCAGTACAGGATCTGTGGTAGAGCGGGGTTGGGTAACATACGCTCCATGAGGCCCTCGAGCAGCTGGACAAACTGTTGCTCGTCCATGGCGATGCTCTCACGGTGTGGTTGTGTAGAAAGCAAGGCTGTGGTGATCTATCGCGGGGCAGCGAAGACCTTTGATATTTACAGTTGTGAAAAGAGCGCCGCTCGATAGAAGAAGGTGGGATTTCAACTTTTTTAGTGGGTCCAAAAATTAGGGTCCAAAAGTTAGGTAAGCCGGCTCACCGACCAATGGCAAACGAGCGCGGCAAACTCGAGAAGCAAACGCTGCAGGAGCACGTAGCAGCGCTGAAAGCCTTCGGTGGGGACTCTCCTTTCGGTGTCCTTGTTGGCTAGTGGTCGTAGAGTCTGACCTGGTGCGTCGGCAGACTGCGCTGAGGATCGGCTGTGTGAGCTGGCAGAGGTTCTCGAGCTCAAGCATTGAAGCTGCTTCGTAGAGAGACCGAGGAAGAGTCCTATGGAGAAAGTAGTGTGTCAAATGCCATCATCTGAAGTTGGTGACAGCTCTTCAGGTAGCTAGGAGACGAGACCGCGATGGTTGGCAGTGCTGCCATGTGCATGCCAGGAGGTAATGCAGAGGAAAGCCATCTTGTCAGAAGCTTCCATGACAGAAACGAGATGAAGAAACAGCGATACCATGAGGAAACAAAGCTCAATGGATGGAGGAAGCTGGGGGAGCTGGAGATGTAGAGGTTCCAGACAGCTCCAACGCGACTTGATAGGACGCGCTAGGCCAGGGTCTGTGCGGCGGAAAGCTGTTAGCAAAAACAGAAGGAGCAACGGCAGACCAGACAACTCGCCGCTGCCATCACTAAAGAGGAGGCTCTTCCACTACATTCTCTCTTACTCCGAAATTGTAATACCCCACCCCATCTCCGCCGCCCACCCCAGCCATCTGCATACCTCACCAGGACACGTTGCTCGACCCCTCCGCCTCCGACTCCATGGCTTCAGTATGTCTGGCAATTGCCGCTCCAGTCTGACAACATGTGACATCGATACTGACCTCATCCAGCAAGCTCCCAATCAGCCGCGCCCTTACCCAGGCAACTACCTCCCTAATGGCGGCGCTCCCGGTGGTCCCTCAGGCCCAGCGCCTGGAGCTGTCCCGCTGCTCCCCAACCAGGGCCGCGTGATCCAGCAGGGAAGCGTACGAGTGCTGTGCATTGCAGATGTCCGAGGTGAGGGCGATAACAACACCAGAACATCAACTTCATCGCTAACATCAGTCAGGAAACCTGCAATCGCTAAACCAGCTCGCCGCCGACGCCCGCGCAAACTACATCATCCACACCGGCGACTTTGGCTTCTACGACGACCGCTCGCTCGATCGCATCGCCGAGAAGACTCTCAAGCACGTGGCACAGTACTCACCGCTGTTGTCAGATGCAGTTAAGCGCTCCATTGCCACAGCCCCTCCGCAACCGCCTATCAAGGAGCGCTTCGCACGGGAGCACCTGCCACTCTCAGAACTGCCCCTCTTCCTCAACAAGACATACACCCTGAACGTGCCAGTATACACCGTGTGGGGTGCTTGCGAGGATGTTCAGGTCCTGGAGAAGCTGCGATCGGGCGAGTACAAGGTGGACAACCTGCACATCATCGATGAGGCGCATTCGCGGCTGCTCGATGTAGGTGGCGTCAAGCTGCGCCTGCTCGGTCTCGGTGGCGCTGTCGTCATGCACAAGCTCTTCGACAACGGCGAGGGCAGGACGACCATTGCCGGTGGACAGGGCACCATGTGGACTACCCTGCTACAGATGGGCGAACTGGTCGACACAGCCAACCGCGTATACGACCCGACCGAAACCCGCATATTCGTCACCCACGCATCTCCCGCTCGCGAAGGCCTGCTCAACCAACTGTCCGTCACGCTCAAGGCCGACTTCTCCGTCTCCGCTGGTCTGCATTTCCGCTACGGTAGCTCCTACAACGAGTTCAGTGTCAACCCCACTCTCGACCATTACCGCGGAAAGCTCGCTGCATCCAAGGCCTCCTTCAACGATGTTTGGGATACAGTCAAGACTGAAGTCGAGCCTGCGGTCGCTGACAGCGAATCTCAACAACGCCTGCTGGCACTGGCACTTGACATAGTAAACAAGATGCCAACCGTAGCCAACGGCGGCAACCCATTCGGTGGCCCTGCTCCTGGTCCTCAAAGCGGCCAAATCGACGAGAGCGCTTTCAAGAACATGTGGAACTTCAACCTTGCGGATGCTGCTTATGGTTGGCTCGTACTGGATATTGACAATGGCAGAATCGGTACTGAGATGAGGGCCCAAGGTTTCAACTTCGCTCACCGAGGCGGAAAGGTTGCACCTGGCCAGACTCAGCCCGCAGCTGCAAACACTAGCACTGGTCCCCCAGCTGCCGTGAACCCCAGCCCCTCCGCCCAGCCTTCGCCTGCCCCAGGTCGTTCAGCCGGACCACCAGCGAACGCTCCTCAGCAGCCCCGCCCTGCCGTTGCGACCCCACCGGTTCCTCAACAGCAGAAGCAGAATGCTGGCCAGGCTGCACGGACCGGACCCTCGCCCGCCCCTGCTGCTGCACCCAAGGAGTCCGTCAAGGCCGCTACACCCCAGCCTCCGGCCAACAACACAGCAGCAAATGCTGCTGAAAAGTCCATTCCAAGCGAGGTCAAGCCCAATGGCACCGGCGCGCCGGAGAAGGCTACATCTCCCGCTCCCCGGGAACCCGTCGAGCGCAAGGAGAGCAAGGGTCTCTTTATCGCCGGTGTAAAGGATGAGGAAGAAGCCAAGGGTCTGCTCGCAGAGGAAGACAGGTCCAAGGTCGAGAAGATGGAGAAGATCAAGCACTTCTTCGTCGCCCACTTCGCCACCTCGCAGGACATGCACGGTGCGCTTCGTCGCGTTGCGGACGATGTCAGGAACGCTAGGGGCGGCCCAGACAACAAGACCGTCAAGGTGTACAACGAGCGCGGCCCTGGTCCCAACCAGCCTAGGTACGGAGCCGGCAGCTGGCAAGCCAGCACCCGTGGTGGTGTCTCAGGCGGCGGCTACCGAAGTGGAGGTGCCTCAGACAGCGAGGGTGGTCGCGGCGGTCGCGGAGGCCGTGGCGGTGCTTCTCGTGGTGGACGAGGTGGCGAGCGAGGCGCACGCGGAGGCCGCGGAGGAAGGGGATCTTTCAGAGGTGGTGAAGGTGCTCCCGCAGCATCAACAGGAGGCGAGTCATAAACACTGCCTGACCGCACCTCCACATCCTCACCGACTCTGATACCCCTTCTTTCTTCTTCGGTTCCGTGCTAATGGCTGCCATAGCAAACATGACGCGGTCTGTTCCAGGCGAGTTCGTCTCTGGCGACATCCGCAACCATGTGCTCTAGCTTTTATCATGTTTTCTGGGAGCGATTTTCCATACCTTCTTCGTAGCCGGCGTGGGTTGTGCGGGTTTTCCTTTTCAAGTCCCTGTTTAGATGGGACCAGGATGGGTGGATCGGCGCTTTATGTGGTCCTTGGCTTCCATGTTTTGGATCGCTGGGGCAAGGCTTTCGATGAAGTATGGTATCTATGTACTGTAATCACAAAACATTAAGAAATATGCGTGAGCAATCGTTTTCGGTCTGTTCATGTTCTTGATGCATCATACATAAGGAAAAACTTGAACACTCTGGAGCCTACATTTATGTTAGGTTACCTTCCTTGCATGTTTCTACGTTAATGTAGGCTGCAGACCTCTTCAAAGCTTTTTCTACGAGGTGGCTGTGTCATATATCGTCTTTGGGCTGTACCATGGTTGAACATACCGTCCGCCTAAACCCAGCGTGACTGCCACATCTTAACCAAGGTTCGTTAATTCATTAATTAATGTTGTATATATTAGAGAACACCAAGTCCTTTCCTCGCCTTCCATTCTCGTTCTCAAAATTCTACAGCATACTACGTAATACCATCAAGATTATGAAGACCGCTTCAAACATGCCAAAATCCAACATCATGCAAGGCAAGCCAAATTCACAGCCAACACTTCCCGTAGACAAACCCGCATCAGTCTTCAATTCCTTCGACTCCCTTCCCGCAGAACTCCAAACCCGCATCATCAAATACGCTTGGAACAATGCCATCCACGCATCCCCCCGCCATCTCCACGCCGACATCAAATTTCGCCGACCCCATTCTGCAGCCTCTGTACTAGCAGCAAGCATTCCCTGCTCAGTACTTTACCGAGTCCACGCCTCTGTCAATCGGGACATCACCCTGCACCTAACCAGCAAGTTCTTCTCCGCCGAATGCAAATTCCTCGCTGCTGCGACGCATCACCTCCACCTCCCCGTTTCCAACTCACAGGATGGAAGCGAATCCGGCGCGACCAAACCCTGCCTCTTCATCCCAGACATAGATACCCTACACATCAACATTAAAGGCGAAATCACTTACAAACACACCGTCCTCTCCGCTGTCGCCATCCTACCTAAAGCCATCCGGGAGATGGTCAAACATATCGATATCGACTATACAGATGCACAGGATATGCTTGAGCTGTGCTTGCAACTAGGGCCGAAGGGCAGTCTTACGAGCTTGATCGGCGGGCTTGGAGCGCCGGATTTGGAGACTGTGACGATCTCGGTGTGTAGCTTGATTGTGGAGGGGAATCAAAGGATGGGGTTTTTGACAATTCCTGGGAGGGAGGAGAAGGGGGTGGAGATGAGGGTTAAGGCAGTGGATGTACGGGAGGGGCTGACATTTTGGGAGAGGATTATGAGATGAATGGGGTGGTGACCACCTCAAACAAGGGACAAACTGAAAACCCTAGAGCCGACGTTGACGTTAGATCCCCTACTTTGCACGTTTTCATCTTAATGTAGGCTATAGGGTGTTTAGTTTTTCTCTTTCGTGAGATATTGTTGGATCGATGCTACGCCCACGCTTAGGCATTCTATCAACGTACTTCTGCTCTTTGCAGTACAGGTAACGATGCAAATGTCAAAGACGCACGAATTCACATGTCTGGAACGCCATGGAAAGGCGACGTGGCTGTAGAGTGGGTCGCTTATATAACCGTCTGATGCGCCGAGGTCAGTCCCATCCGCATGCCGCCATCGATGTCACCAAGCCAACCCCATCTTGCCATGCAGCCGCCATAGCTCTTCCGCATGATGCCCGCGCTTATACAAGACAATAGGCGTTTGCGACCCGGTCCCTGAAGGCCGCCTACAAAAACTTCGCGTTTGCCACATTTCATCCACCAATGGCGACGCGACGTGTCCGCGGTAGATCGACGGCAGATACTCCTAAGCCTCTCCAACACCGTAGCGCCGATGGATGATGCTTGTTGAGACACGACTACCGCGGCTTTGGTGAAGGCGAACCCATGCATGACGCAGAAGTCTGTAAGGTGGACCGTCGGACATTGTTGATGCGCGGAGGCGGCTGCCAAACATGGAGATGGTGCCGTCTGGGGCTCGGTGACGTCTCCGACCCCTCCATCCCACCTCCGACAACTTTTTCCCCAGACAACGCTTAAAGGTCCAGAACGTCCGCATCTAAACAGTCACAAACTCTTTACTTTTTCTTCTTGATACCCCAACTTCACCAATTGCAATCATGTCTCTCGGAAGGAAGGTTACTCTCAACACTGGCGCTGCCATTCCGTGAGTACCCAAACAAACACCCCGCAGACATACGTAGCAATTGCTAACCTTTCCAGCCAACTTGGTTTCGGCACATGGCAAGCTGAGCCTGGCCAGGTCGGCGCTGCCGTCCTCGAGGCCCTCAAGGCTGGTTACCGCCACCTTGATCTCGCCAAGGTCTACGGCAACCAGAAGGAGATCGCCCAGGCCCTCAAGAAGGCTTTCGGCGGCGAGGTCCCCAACCTCAAGCGTGAGGACGTCTTCATCACATCCAAGCTGTGGAACTCGCAGCACCGACCCAAGGACGTGCCCGGCGCTCTCGACGACTGCCTGGCTGAGCTTGGCCTCGACTACCTAGACCTTTACCTTGTCCACTTCCCCGTCGCTTTCGACGAGCGCGGCGATGTCCACAACAACCTCTTCCCTCTCGAGGGCGAGGACGTCAAGATGCTCGACGACGTCTCCATCGTCGACACATGGAAGGCCATGACACAGCTGCCCAAGGAGAAGGCACGCGCTGTCGGTGTCTCCAACCACACCAAGGAGCACCTTCAGGCCATCATCGACGGCACTGGCGTCACTCCCGCTGCCAACCAGATCGAGCGCCACCCCCGTCTGCTCCAGCCAGAGCTCATCCAGTACTGCAAGGAGAAGAACATCCACATCACCGAATACTCCGTAAGCACCTCCCCTCCATCCCCCTAATCCAACACTTACTAACACCACCCCCCAGGCCTTCGGCAACAACATGGTCGGCGAGCCCCTCCTCGTCCAGCACCCCACCATCAAGGAGATCGCCACCCGCATCAACGCCTCCCCCGCTCAAGTCATTCTCGCCTGGGCCCAGGTCGGCGGCCACTCCGTCATCCCCAAGTCCGTCACTGCATCCCGCATCCAAGAGAACTTCAAGGAGGTTGATCTGTCGGAAGACGACTTCGCAAAGGTCGAGGAGATTGGCAAGAAGGAGCCGCGTCGCTTCAACATTCCTTACACGGCTAACAAGCCGAGGTGGCCGGTTAACATTTTTGGTGAGCCTGAGGAGAAGGATGCGCCGCATAAGGTTGTGATCAAGGTCTAGGTGATCTAGGGATCGTCTAGGCTGAGATAAAAAGATGTAAATGAATAATAGAATACATGAATAATACCCCCCAACTACGTAATGGCTTGAGATGTGAAGTTGCTCGCCAGATCTCCACATGCCTGCTTGAAGGAGGCTTGTGTTCATTCGGTATTAGTTTGGCCGTGCCATTATGTTTCGCTTTCGTTACCAAGTATTAATGTCGTTTCCAGATGTGTATATCTGCTATTATTTCCTGGATGTTGATGCCGCACAGGGCAGTCTTATCTTGTCTCCATATATCTCATCAACGTGCTCATTGAGCGCCCTTGAACGCCCTCGCACGCATGACGCACCTTCATTCTCTAACTGCTTACCTTGCACCCTGAACTATCTGATTCCCAACCCTCGTAAGCTGGCTGTAAATCATCACACTGTTGCCCTTAGTATCTCCTCATTCTCTATCAACGTGTTTTTAGAAGGTACAAGAGGGTCGAACAGTGGCATTGAGCTGCTTACTTATACCTATGTATTTTCGAGATCGATGGTCTTAGTCTCTTCGAAGCTTTTGTACACACTCGACATAACAAGATCGAGCATGTACAACATCCTGCAGAAATCTGAGCACGAAAAGAGCGAAACAATGTAGACTTACTGGAAATTTACATCGGTGCAGTGGCTGTGCGTCGACATGGCGCACAGAATCAGCGTAGCCATATGACGTAACGCCCGAAACTCCATTCACAGCCAATACAATCGGATCATCACAGGACGCGCGCAAACACGATGTGGTTATCGGGGCTTGAGCGCGATGACCCGAAAGCGCACCTGCAGGGATGAGCACGCGGGTAGGCTAGACTAGGCGGCATGACGTAGTGCTGGTCTCGAAGAACGACGCGCTTCACTTCGCTGCATTTCGCACTTCACATTCAACACTACATGTTATATCGTGATAAACATTCTGATCCATCCATTGGACATGTGGTGGTATTCAGCACAAGGTCTAGATCATGCCTTCCTCATTCCGGTGCACTGGACCCTGGTCGAGCCTTGTTGAGCCTATTACGACGCGATTAATCACTTTCTGGCCTCACATGTCTCGTTACCGTCCTTACAATTCCCAGTCACTTGCTCTTCCATCTTTCCGTTTGCCTGCGTACCATGAGGACGAACACATTTTCGCGGCCTTTTATGGGCCCAACGTGCTCCGCGTCATTGATCGATAATCACTTGCTCACCTACACCACTACACCGATACACCTTCCGCGAAAGTAAGGAGACCACTTGTGGGAGCAACACTGCAGCAGTCGAAGACCCTTATCTACTCGCTAATCTGACACGCGAACGTCACAAGAACTTTCAGGGTACTACCGCACCTCTCTACACACACGCACCATCTCGATCCTTAGCAATACATTCACTCCGGCTTTTCGTCATCGCTTATACTCGCAGAAGGACCTAGATTTTACAACACCAAGACTTTCGCAAATACAATCCAAAGCCCCACACTCCCGCCCACACTGCGCAACCGTCGCCATGCCTCTGAATAATGGCGCCAAAGCGGCGAACGAGCACCTCATCTTCGTTAAGAATGTCCCCGGCTACATCGAGACAGACGAGTTAAAACGAATGTACGAAAGCTACAATCCGACAAGCCTTAAGAACGTCTATCCGAATAGCAATGTCACCACCATCGTCGTCGGCTTCCGCACCAAAGCCGAAGCAGCGCGAGCTCAAGAGGAGACAGACCAGACGCGCATAGCAAACGTCATTCTCAAAGTGGAAATGTACAATCAGCGGCAGTCGGTGAGATACCTGCGGGATCAAGGGCAAGCGAGTCGGCCGCTGGGAATGGCGGAGCAGGACGAACCAGGATACTTCGACGAGCCACCGCAAGAAGACGCGCCCGTCTTCACGCCACCGCTGGAACCATACGTCGCGAGAGATCCCGCGGCGGCGCCACAGGGTACCACGTGGGCCGACATCGCTGGCAATCGAGCTGCTCCGATCAAGCACACAGGCAAGCTAGAAGGAACAGACAGCCCCGCGACCGTCCCATCCACACCCAACTTCACACCTCGCATGCCAATAGCTGTCCCACAGAAGCTCCTCCCAGCCGGTCAACCGCAGCCAGGCAGCTCACCTCCCCCAGCGGCCGTCTCACTAGGACACAGCACTCCCGAAGCCCTAACCATCCCGCCGGCCGTCACAGATATGAGCACAGACAGTGGCAGCGAGACCACCGATGAGACCGAAGACCGCGATAGGATGATCAGCGATATTGCGATCTGGCAAGCGACTGCACAATGGGCGACTGAGACCGGCGGTTACCAATCGCCAGGTCAAGAGCCAGAGCCTCTCGATACTACAGCGCGGATTCGGCAACGACATTGCCGGGACTGTGTGTTTTGTCAGATGCGGAATCGGTCTTAGGGGGAGGATGAAGAGCGAGAAGACAATGGCCAAGATACAGAGTCTGTTTCGGGGATGGGAGAGGACCCGGCGTCTTGCGTTGGGCAGACTTTGGAGGAATTCGAGATACTTGGAACCTGCCTTGGGCAACAGCTGATAAAACCTTTGGGCTTTTGCTAGACTAGTCGCGATAGTCTGAGAATCAGAAGCTTGTGAGACAGTCTTTTTCTGGGGATGTGATATGTGATGCGTTATGGAGCAGAGGCGGTCGTCTAGGCAGGCTGTGCTAGCTGTTCTCTATGTCGCAGGTATGCCGCGATGAGCAGTCACCTTTGATCCGTCAGATCGATAGAATCACGAATGCTTGTTGGATGAACAAAGACGCGTCGCGCATTTGGCAGCAACGACGCGACGGATGCGCGGGTTAGCTTGATCAACGTCATCGTGGCTTCCGTCCGCGTTAGCGCACCTGCATGTGGGCAGGGGCTTCTTGCCCGGTTAGCCATCCTCAACTCATCAACCTTCATCGCTTTCATCATCAGATTCATCACAGTCACTCATCGTAACGCTTGTGTTATTGCCACTCATTTATTTGTAAGCTTGTAATTTGTTAAGCCATACACACCCGCGCTCTACCCATGTTGCAATGCAAATGCATGCTGAATGAAATCGCTGACATGAAACTCAGGGACGTCGTACTGACCCCCATAGCTGGACTCCTCGGTCCGCTCGCGCGATGCTACCGACCATGATCTCGTGCCAAACTGTCCACTAGATCATGCCAGCAGCAGGCGCCACCTGGTTCCAGTTGCAGCCCTCCGGTGGGTTCTTGAGAATCCGAGAGACTATGAACTGGTGCAAAAGGTTCACATCTTGCTCATCTTGCAGGCCACGCACTCCAGAGTCCAACAAGAGAAACTTTCTCCAGAGCTGCTTGTACTCGCGGACGTGCTCGGGTGTCCTCGCATTGGGCTCCATGGCTTTAAGTTCCTCGCGATATTTCTCGGCCGAGCTACGGGCTAAGTCCGCATCGACGACATCACTGTAACAACGAAGTCGTGCATCAAATGCCAACTCCTTTAGATTTGCGATAATCGTTTGTCCGATGGTCTTAGGCTTCAGTGAGCGAATCGCTGCGATTTCCGCTTCGGTCAAGGGTTCGTCATCCCAAGTCAACTCTTCAACTGGATTGGATAGCCCGGAGACGACCGACGACGGAGCATATAGCTCAAGAGCCAGCGATGGGGTCTTTTCTATGTCGCAGCTCATGTCAACATCTCCCAAAGCGCTCGGTCGGTGAGACGCGCCGATCATCTGCTTCTCATGTTTTAGAGCCTCCGTAGCGCCGAGAACGGATCCGGCAGGTAGTGATGAGGATATCTGGTCGCCAACCAAGCTCATGCAGCTTTCAACTGTGGTACGGTTGATGAAGTTCTCCTGGGTTTTTGAAGCGATGAGTGCATCTTTCATGTACTCGGGCATGCCCGCGACCGCTTTACCACATGCTGGATCCACGGAAGCCACATCACGTGTGCCTAGCGGATGGTGATCAGCAATGGCAGGCTCCGCAGCGACAGGGTTGATCGAGTCCATATCAATATGCTCTGCTTCGGCAGCTAGCGCCCTTTTGGAGATGAGCTCCGAGCACGCCCTTATAAAAATGATCGCGGACGCCGGTTCCAGAGCGCCGTAGATGTCCATGTCTTTAGTAGCATGGATGGTTCTTGACTCGTCCAGGTTGATGACTGATATTTCGTTGCCTGCCTTCGGATCTCTGCACCATCCGACCTTGACGACAGGGTGGCCATGAGCGTTCGAATTGCTAATCCCCTCCGGATACAATACTCGCAAGTACTGCTCGTGCTGAGCTGCGGTCAAGTTCGCATCGCTCGGCTTGTCTTGTCGAGTCATCCTCCTGCAGTCAAGGGTCCATGTCTCTTTGTTCACTGAGAAGACGATCCAGGGCGCGGACTTGAACAGGTAAAAACCGTCGGGGGTGGGGAAATATCTGGAATCATCGGGTCTAGCATGAGGGTTGGTAGTCTTTTCTGAGTAGATCTCCCTGATTATCGTACCGGACTTGATCTTGTTGAACTCCTCTTCCACGGCCTTCTCCTTGATCTTGGTCCAGCCCGGGACTAATTGCATCTCTTGGCGGACTGCTTTCGCGAGGGACTTTCCGTCTACTTTGGATGGTTCAGCTTGGTTGACGATCTCATCGCGTGTGGTACGACCGGCGGGGTGCCTAGCAGCAGTACTTGTAGCCGGTGGATGTACAGTGCGCCCTGGAGTCGACACCGTATAACGGCCAAGCCTCGCCGGTTTGTGACCGTGATTTGCTTGCGGGAGACCTACTCGACTGTTAGCGCTGTCACATTCACAAGAGATTCCATTACTCACGAAGCACATCTTCTCGAAATAGCCGATGGGTTTGATGGGCTTGGTAGGCCGGTCGCCTATGCGGCTGACCTCTCTTCGTCTTCTTTTCTCTAGGCATGTCGAGACGACGCGCTCTGGTTTTGTCGATGCAAGTGGATGATATCGTTGGCTTATTGGAGGAAGCGTCAGCAACCCGCCAACTGGGTCGTCGACACTTTGGGCGCAAAAGACTAGGAAATCGCTCAACGCGTAGTTGAGCTGAGTTGGAAGACCGATGCGGGCGGAGTGGTTTGCGACCGCTGTTGCTAACCTTTGGAGACTAAGGCGCTGAATTGGACTAGGCGTATGCATTCATTGCGTACAAAAACAATGGCCAAAGCGCGTTCGACCGCAAATGCGAATTTCCATAACACGTGCGAAATCCACAGCTCAGTGAAAGCTCAGGTAGAGTTTGCAGAACAGGATTGTGTTTCGATCTTTCGAGCTTTCGACCTCCTTACACCAACATCGCGTTCAGTCTGGATTAACACGCGGGCACATCTCGTCTCGAACGGAAGCTACATAAGATCACGCTGTGGCCAAACCCTTACGCACTTGTTCAGTCTTCCCAGCCGTACTTCCCTGAATTTTGATACGACAGGGACAAGTTTTCGCATCAAGCTGACATCTAGTGGTTGTGATAACACTGGAATATAGCGATGAAACAGTATATGCACTAAAATGACGGTTGCCGCGAACATGCGAACTAAATACGAAGTTTGAGCCACGAGCGTCTGCACTGCGGACAGCTCGTCTTATCATGAACCCTCCCGGGCATCCTGAAGAGAGTAAATTTTGGCGCTTACCAACGACGCAAACAAACCGAGTCTAGCGGCTTACTCTCCACTCATGTGCATCAATCTGAGCTCATGAAGCTGTCTTCCGGCGTCAACAATGAGTCCCAACCCCTTACTTGGAAACAAAGAACCATGCATGTCGTTGAAAGATATCAACAAAGCCACTAGGCTATTCGCGGGACGGCCTTTGTCTCCGAATTCCCGATACACTAAGTAATCCGCTGAACTTCAGCTCGATGCTGCCCTGGCCCAGCTCGCGCATTCTAGGCAGTAACGCCTTTTCGGAAATCAAACACTTTGCACTCCTGATATTCCAATGTCCGCATCGAACGGCGATCAAGTGTCGAGCACGCAGTCGAATCACCCTGAGACAGAGAACCCTCCACCGCATAGTCCACATTCGGAGAGCACAGAAGACCAAAATGCCATCCCAAGGACAGTCGAACCATTGCCAGAGGGATCGAGACTTTGGCCGGCCGCGGAGCGGGATGAAATTTCCAGTGAAAGTTACAAAGCGGGCTCGGCCACCTTGATTGAGGTTTCTGTCGACGGCAAGCCAGTCATGGCGCTTCTTCTCTCGCACGAATTGGGCCAACGAATGTTTAAATCTGTGGAGCTACAACTCGAACTTAGAGCACTCGAAGATCGGTCTAGAGAGGAGATCCCAGCGATTGATCACAAAACATTTCACCTCCAACAGATAGTCGATTCCACAAAGTCGGGTCTAGCAAGTGTCGAACGCATCCAACATGGCTTAATGAAGCAGCAAGACCCTAAACATGTCGTAATGCAATCAAAGGCACGAGAGGAACTACTCAAGGATGAGGAGGAGCTGTCGCTGCTCCAAAAGGAAAAGGCAGAGCTAGAGCGCAAGGTTCACGACGCGAACGAGGCATGGTACAATATCGCGTGGAATGTGTGTGTTCACCACCATATTGCTTTCATCAAAGCAGGATTCAAAGGAGAAGATGGGGACAGCGAAGATGGAGAAACATCGAGCGCTGAGTCTGAACCAGGTGAAGAAGCCAGTGGCGCAAAAGAGTCGGAAAGGAAATCTAGTCCCACGGCAGCGAAAGATGCACAGCAGCCGGTGGCTGGAAACGAGCTGGCTATGGTGCTGTACACCGGTAACAAAGCAAAGCAGGATACCACAACCCGGAATGCGGGCGTACCTCAAAGCAAGCCCCCTGATCTCACCATGACTCGGTTCACAGCAGAAGATGAGATAAGACTCAAACTCCTCGCAGCAAAGAAGGCTTTCAGCGAAGCTGACTACGCACACGACAAGCACCGAAAATGCTACGAACTTACATTCCTTAGATATTGTGCACAGTACCCGACCAAACCCGAGGGTGAACTTGCCGCTCAATTTCCCCGCTTCTTCATCAAAAAGGGACAAGAACTCATAAACGCGTTACGCGTTGCGGAGAAAGCGTATCATGAGGCAGAGAAACGCGCCATGGATGTGAACGTTTTCACCATTCCGGACGAACTTATCGAAGCAAATGTTAACCCATACCTGGATCTCGATGATCTGGAGGCGATGATGAAGCCATGGAATGATAGGGACCGGGCACGCATTTACGATTGGCGTCATGTTGAGGCGGGTGTTCTGACTCCGCCGTCTATTCATACGATTGATACGTTCTATGATGCGAGTTCCAGTGACGATGAAAGCAGCAACGAGAGCGTTGTAAGCGCGCAAGACGTTGGGGTCCAGAGAATGGAAGCCGCTCAACCGCCAGCACCATCAGCACCCAACAATATCGAAACCACCGCAGCAATACCGGCGCAAGATGAACCCGGGCCTCGTTCCGAGGAGGATGATATCCCAGAGGGAGTAGTCGTATTGAGCAAGCCCAATGCAAGTCAGAACTCCTACTCGTCTACCGAATTGGCGTCGACAATAGATGGCGCAGCTCCAGCTTCTTCCTCTGGGGTGGAAAAGCGTAAGTTCTGGGGTCAGGTACAAGGACATGATAGCTTTAGTGTTGCCGATATGAGGATCAAACGACAAAAGATAGATCGATGGCAGCGGGATTGCGCGCGGTGGAGGGCTAGTAATGTACATTTCGAATGAAAGGTATTTCATCCTCTTCATTTCCGGGTCTGCTCTCTTTCGGCTTTTCGTGGCGCCGTGGGAACCTGCTCTCAGTGAAGATGGCCGCACCGAATCCGGACACGCTTTGCCTTTCTGGGTTAGTGCAAGCTCGTGATTGGATCCCAACCTTCTCTCGCAAACACGCAAGAACTCATTTGCAGCCTCGCCACTTTTGCTCTTCATCCGCCGAAGTCACAGCCAGCCCACGACGCTGATCAGTCATGCCTCTGTCCGATTTCCAGATACCCGATACCGTTGAGGGCCTGCAAGCGGCTCTTAGCAACGTCGATGAAGAGTAAGCGACCCGACATCTAATTAATTGGACGACTGACTGACATTGGCTACCAGCATACACAGTACTGAAGACAGGGAACGCGAACAAGCCCGCTTAGCAGATGATGATCTACGGTTGCTGGGCGCGAAACGTCTTGCCATACGCATGTAAGCCATACAGGATTGGAGAGGCATAATCATCCATACTGACACTTGTAGACTCTTGTTGTCGAAGAGAGACCAGCGGTGTCGAGAAGCTACACAGGAACTACCAAATGCGGTCTTGGAGAATTTACCACGCGAGCTCCGAGACATGATCTACACTGAGCTGTACCGCGGAAGTCAGGACGAACCGTACGAGATTGTCGACAACAACTCTAAGCACCCATACGACCCCTTGTACGAGTTTGCGCCTATGGTCGGAGCATATGAGCCGCCATATTGGATGCTGGAACGTGAGGTCGGCCCTGAGTTCGCGCGCGAAGCTGTGGAGATTTGGTACAAGTGCGCAGATCTTTTGGTCGACATAAAGCTCCTACAACCACTATTGCAAGACGACGATGGCGTCTTGTATGACAGCTGGTCGCCTTCGGTCCGGACATGCGATTTCCTTAGGAAGCTGGACGTCGCCATCGGCCCCGCGTCATCACCGTTACACACAGGAGAAAGTAGGCCATCAAGTCGAGCAGTACACATCCGACAGATATGTCGGTCACTCTCTACCTTGTTGGAAGAATCAAGTGTTGCACGGAAGGAGGGGTTCAGGCTGCACATTGCCTTTCAATGGGATATGTCCGACGATTGGTCCGACTACCTGAAGGCAGCCTGCCCAGTGGTTTATCGTTTGAAGACTCAAGGCTTCGTGGTTTCAGGTCGCCAAAATTATGGAGAGTATATTCGACACAAGTGCTACGAAGCCGGCTGTTCGTGCGAGTGCTGGCGACTTGGAGACATTGAGTGGTACAGTAGCGGTATCGATGATTGGTTCGACTGCTCGGAGGAGGAGTGTATGGAGAGGATAGAAGAGGAGAGAAAAAGACACTGTAATGAGTAAGCGTCAGTGATAGGAAACAACGCACGGAAAGTGTATTTGGAACATGAAGCCAGTCGGTAATCGGGATGGCTGGTGCTCGGGCTTTTCATTGTCACATGAACTGGAGTTCATCCGCATCTAGACGCCATGTTAGAACCATAAGTCCTAGTAAACACCCTGTTGTGCCGATCATTGTGACATCGTTGCAGCTAGCTCACGAACCGAATGCGCGCGTTGCTTGAAATGTCGGCAACGGCGCGTCTAGGCGCGTGTATCGTGAGCTGAATATGAGGGATTAGGCGCGAGACCCCAAATGCGCGTTATGGAAAGACAATCATCTTCAGTGAAGCGGGCGAAGGCACGGGAAGTGAAATTCCGTTGACGCGTCCAGGAGAGAGTTGGTCACGCCCGTCCAAGATCAACATTACGGCCCTCTTATACTGGCCAATTGCGCTGCCCATACTCTCGCAACAGGGGTATCGGCCCCCGCAATTGCCGCCCTCATCTTCGCCACCCAAACATCAACACGGGCTTGATAAGGCCTGTCGCATCCCGCGAGTCCCTGCATATACATCCTTCCTGCGGCTATATCTTTTGCTTTGCAAAGTAACAGCGAATTAACATGCCCAAGTTCTTTAAGCGCATCTTCAGCGATGCTTTGTTCCGGAGAGAGCCGGACGTCAGCGACATGCAGCGATCGCGGCGCGTGCTGGTGAGGAGCTCGGGGGGTATGCCAGAGGAACAGACGAACTGGAGAACATCGTTTTTCGATATTCAGGTTCAGGATGAGGAGCGCCGTGCGTTGAGGGATGGGGCAAGTGTAGCCGGTAGCGACATGCATGCCGCCGAACGACCTATTCTAGCACCGAGCCACGACCAAATACCAGTGCGCAAGCCGAGTCGCGCGCGGAGGAGACTGAGCAAGAAGCATCGAAGGCCTACTTGAAATGGGGCTGGAGGTATGTATGTTGCATGCGACGTCAAGTGCTCGATGCTGACACGTCTCTCTAGAATGTCATCGCGGCGTCGATACGACCACATGCTGGCATGATGGGATTACGACAGTATGGATCTAAAAGGAGACATGTGATCTTGCACGAGCTACATCCTCCTATGTGATGGATTGTGCCATGATCGAAATGGCTACGATGTTGGTATCACTTGCGCGGCCTGGCAGGCCAGCTACGCACATCGAGAGCAGAAGAAAGGCTCTCTACATCACACTACCCTTAGATGAGACATTTTACATCCATCGGACATCTAGCATATCAGATATATACTCGCAACGACAGCCTTCTCAGGATAAGACGAAGGATCGATATAATCGGGGCTCGTCACGTGTTTTGCCCCTCACCGAGGCTTGGCTTGTCAGCCATTCCAGGTTCACGGAATGGATATGGATTACTGAACATCAAACGTTGTCTAACTTTCGCATCTCGTCTTCCTTTCTTCAACATCGATCACCTTCTTTTGTTGTCTTTCTATCGACACCTTTGCGGCGCTAGCTTCTTTCAATTATCCTCTTTCGCCGTTCGAGAATTCATCAGCCTAATAGCATCGGAAAATTCTCACTCGTCTTAGGCCACCATCTTACGTGGTATTTTCAACTAGATCTGCCTAATCCGCTGACCTTTCCGCTGGCAGAGTTTTCTGCAATTGCTATACGACTTTTAGGTGTTGAGGAGGACTTGACGAATAACTTGAAGCTCGACATACGCAGCGCAGCCTGCTCGGAGCTTCAAAGACATGCGATTGTATACCTCCCTTCTCTGTCTTCTCTGCATTTCATCGCACAGCGACGCGGTTGGCCAGCCGTGCAAATGTGTGAGTTGAGATTGCGCACCCGCTGAGTACGGCTGATGCATACCCCAGACACCTGGTGATGCTTGTTGGCCGTCTATCAACGAATGGAGCGACCTCAATACGACACTTGATGGCGCACTTATCCGCAGCGTTCCCCCGGGAGCAGTCTGTTACCCGTCGAGGCCGGAGTTCGATCGAGAAGTCTGTGACTACGTGGCGTCGCAGTGGTTTAACTCATCATATCACGCTGCGCATCCCATCAGTATCGACTACCCCATATGGGCAAACGACTCTTGCAATCCGATCTTTCCAAATGGAACTAGCATCACCGGTAACCCACATGCTGAAGTGCAGGGATGTAATATCGGCAACTACCCCGCCTACGTAGTGAATGCCACCACTGCTTCTCAAGTCAGCACAGCTTTGGTTTGGGCAAGTTCAAGGAATATTCGCGTTGTCGTGAAGGCGACTGGACACTCATATCAAGGTCGCAGCACCGGTCATGGCAGCCTAAGTATATGGACGCACCATATGCGCGGCATCGATTACGTCGCGTCGTTTAGTCCAGCGTCTTGCCCTTCTGAGACTTCATGGACCGCTGTGCGTGTTTTAGCCGGCCACACGAACATTGAAGTCCAAGAAGAAGTAGCTCAGCACGGAATGGCGATTGTAACAGGTGCCAACCCCAGCGTTGGGCTCATTGGGTGGCTCATAGGCGGTGGTCATGGGCCGCTTTCGACCAGCTACGGGATGGGGACCGACAACTTGCTTGAGGCAACCATTGTCACACCTAATGGTGAAGTCGTCCTCGCAAACGCATGTCAGAACCAAGAATTGTTCTTCGCTATACGAGGCGGAGGTGGCGGCACATTCGGCATCATCACGGAAGTCGTCGTTCGCACCTTTCCAACCCCAAGAACTACTGCGCATACCTTCCAAGTCCGGTTAAAAGACTTGGGCAGAAGCACGGATTTCTATAAGTTCTTGGGATTTTTGCACGCTGAGATGCAGCGGCTGAAAGAAGGCGGCATGCAAGGGTATTACCTGGTTGTGGGACCGCCTATTGTTCCCACTCTATCATTCTCCTGGACATTCTTACTTTACAACGCTCCAAGCGGAGCGGTTGAGCTACTCATGGAACCTATTGAAGCATATCTGCAGGAGCGGAGGCAGGCTTTTGAATGGCAGTCGATATTATCGCACACGGATACGTACCTAGAGATGCACAAAGCCAATTTCACGAACGAGCAAGTCGCAAATGGTGGCTCGGCATATGGGTCGAGATTGCTGAGTGCTGAGAGTCTGGCGAACCCACACCTGACGGCGATCGTATTTTCGAAGATCGGCCCAACCGATGATGCCTTTGAGCCAAATGTAAAGGACCTCAGCTCTGGTTGACATCTGTGATCTTGGCTAACATACCCGTAGGGACCAGTAACTAACCCACTTCTCATCGGCCACATCATTGGTGCACCGAACGAACCAGCTTACTACCCTCTTCAAAGCAGTCTTAACCCTGCATGGCGGAACACTCTCACGCACCTTATCGTCGCATCGCCGTTCGGTGACGCTGCATCCCAAGCCACCATCGATCATGTGTATTCAGATATCACACGCAGAAAAACCGAGGCACT